TAGCCCATTAAGACGAGAAAATATATGCACACACACACACACACACACACACACACACACACAATTTAACAGCACTGACTTCAGTTAAGTTGAAGCACTAAAATTACTAACTGGAAATAATAGAAATAAAACCTAACTGAAATAAAAATAAACTAAACCTAAATAGTAATATTTAAAATAAATAAAAACTATCAAAAATGACAAAAGCACATAACAAAATACTACAAATGTAACTAAAATTAAAATGAAAACTGAAAGTATAAAAATAAAATTATTTTTCAAAATAATAAAACTTATTCAAAACATTCATAAAACTGTAATATTACATAAATAATACTAAAATAACACTGGTTCAGAAAGATGTCACATTACAGAAGTTAAATGCGTTAAATTGTCAAATGTTGTCTTTAAACATTTATTCCAGATTAGATATGCTTAATTTATGTGTTAACGTGTAACATCTATTTCTAATTGCAGAATTAGCTCTAGACCTGCAAAGAGGCCGTATGTCTCTACAGACCCCAGACTCTGAGCGCTGCAGCTCTTTGGAAAGGTTCCCGCTGCCTAAATACAGTAAGGTAAGTCAATTCAGTTTATTTGTGACCCTGCAGCACAAAAGCAGTCATAAGCAGCACAGGTATATTTGTAGCAATAGTCAACAATACATTGTATGGGTCAAAATTATCCATTTTTCTTTTATGCCAAAAATCATTAGGATATTAAGTAAAGATCATGTTCCATGAAGATATTTTGTAAATTTCCTACCGTAAATATATCCAAACTTAGTAATTAGTAATATGCATTGCTAAGAACTTCATTTGAACAACTTTAAAGATGATTTTCTCAATATTTAGATTTTTTTGCACCCTCAGATTCCAGATTTTCAAATATTGTCCTATCCTAACAAACCATACATCAATGGAAAGCTTATTTATTCATCCCTTATGACTGGTTTTGTGCCCCAGGGTCACATATGCTAAACCTACAGTACTTGACTGTTTGTAAAGGATCTCTCTACACAGTGCGGTCTTACTTCACCATGTGTCTCAGGTTCTGTCTGGAGATCATGCGTTTAGGGATCTGGAGATTAAGATGACTGCGCAGCAACGCAGGCCACGGGAGACTGGCCGAGAAAAGCTCTGTCGCTTCGGGAACGAGTTCATGCCGCTTCAGGCTCTGGAGCTGCCGGTTAGTCAGTCTTTCCTTACATGTTAAAATCATTGATGTTGTTTTGAAATGGTCGGGATGGGACAGTTGTTGTGGCACAGACATGCTGGTTGTGATGTCACGAAAAAGCAAAGGCTCAGCACACGGTTATTAATGAAGTTATGCACAAATATTGTAACATTATCTTTGATTGTTTTGAATAAATAAATAGTCTATTAATTTTGGTTCTCAACTAAGGGAACGGAATTCACTTCAGCAAACTTTATATTATTTGAATTTAAATAAATAAATAAAATCCATATATTTTAATATTATTATTATTATTAATAAATTAATCTAACTTAATTAAAATGCTAAGAAAAATTCTATTCTAAAATTCTCTTTTTATTTTTCCCCTTAAATAACTATTGTTTCTGTTTGTTTCCCAGTTTTTGTTTAAATAAAGTAAAATAAAATTACAAGCATAAGTATAGAAGAAATAATAGAGGAGATATCTTATATACAGTATATGGCCAAAAAGGTTAAAAACCACTTATCTTTGAGACCAAATGAGATGAATTGATACATAAATTGTTACAGAAAACAGAATTGTGTGTATTTTTATTATTTTTATTAAAAGTACAAAAAATAAAATTGTATATAAAACTAAAATAAAACTAAAATCATTAAACATTAAAAAGAACAAACAGAAATAAACATAACATAATTCAAATGTAAAAAATATAATATTACATATAATTTAAAGTTGTTGCTAAAAAACAAACAATACAACCACCTGTCATTATGACACACATACACACACATTATATATATAAATATATATATATCCTACTGGAGATGCTTTTATTTTACAAAGGGTTGGGGAAAAAGTTGATGAAAAGTGGAGAAGACATACCTGTAGACATACAAACATACCTGTGGCTACATGACACTGGGCACTGATTGAAAGGTTTGCAAAACCAGCAGAGGAGAAAAACAAAGACACCACCCTATTGTTTTATCCCTTGTGTTATGAGAACAACACACTGAAGTTTTGCTTGGCCAAGGGAAGCCTGTGGAATGAGAAGACTCAAATGGGTTTTCTCTGTAAATTGTTCAAGCGAACGCCTGGCTGGAAATGAAATGAGAAATGCATGACGGAGGATGGTGAGTTTATGGTGAAAGAGTGCCAGGATGGGCTACTGACTGTAACGGCACGTTTAAGGGAGCGAGACATTGTTACGGCTACCACATCACACAAGTCAGACACATTTCACAGTGGAAAAGTGGAGCTTTAAGCATTTAAAATCCTCACCTAATTAAACAAGAAGCAGTTGACAGTAGCTATGTTGCAATTCAAAGATGTGATTCCATCCAACGAGTCAAAGAGAACAAAATCGTCACTTCCTGATAAACTGGCACTAAATATCACTAAGAAAAGTAGGATAAGCCACTGAATATAATCAATTTAATTTATGATAAATTACTTGCGCCTCAGAGCAAGCAGACGAAACACAATAAATGCTGTCAATGCTTTCGGAGGTGGATGCTGCTGTTTGGGAACGCAGTCGTGTAAAACAATTATACAGAAATACTTTGACAACAGACTTTGCTCAAGCATTTCAGAACGACCAAAACAACATTTCAGATGCTGTGCAACAAGATCGGTCTGCTGGTTAGTAAGGTTATGCCGTCCCATCGTGAAAACTCGCATGACTTTTTTAATGCACATGGTGGAATTTATTCGGTAAAAGTGTTTCCATCGTAGTTTATGCACATTTTTAGAATTTATGCTCATCTTGGCATTTCCATCCAGCGTTTTTTAATGCAATATTCCAAAATGCGCATAAAGATAGGTGGATGGAAACATAGCTTGTGTTTTATTAGCATGTTCACCAAGTAAGTGTAACTCTTTCTAGGAGATCAGTGAGCTGAAAGATGTACCTTTGAAGCCTTGGAGATTGAAGATACGTCAGATTTCCTCCAGAGGAGCAGAGGCGAGCTCTCGCATGCTCTCCTCTGAAGCTCCTCTGCACTGTGAAACACTGGAGGACTAGACAGCCGTATGATGGAGGACACAGGGTTTATTTTTTTTACCGCAGGTCAGTGACTGTACACTGATTTACACTGTTTTGCACCGAAATTCTCTGCCTTAACAGTTTAATAGACATCGCTTTTGTGCCATCATTGTTCAGTCACATCAGTATTTGTATGCAATATGTATTATTTATTACAATATAGAGGAAAATAATTTAAAAAATTTTTTTGAAATTTGACTGTGTATGTATTTTAGCAATAAATAATTTTTCTTAATTAAAAATGAGGTTGTATAGACATTCTGTTGATTTTGTCCTCAATTATTTAGCTTATTGACAACATTAAAATATGTATTTTTAAAAAATCCTGGCAAGAAAAAGATTAGTAAATTAACACCTTGAACAACATTGAAAATCACTCAGAATACCTTATCAACCATATAGAAAGCACCAGAAACATCATAGCAATGCCTTAGCAACACCCTAGCAACCCATCCAACGAGTCAAAGAGAACAAAATCGTCACTTCCTGATAAACTGGCACTAAATATCACTAAGAAAAGTAGGATAAGCCACTGAATATAATCAATTTAATTTATGATAAATTACTTGCGCCTCAGAGCAAGCAGACGAAACACAATAAATGCTGTCAATGCTTTCGGAGGTGGATGCTGCTGTTTGGGAACGCAGTCGTGTAAAACAATTATACAGAAATACTTTGACAACAGACTTTGCTCAAGCATTTCAGAACGACCAAAACAACATTTCAGATGCTGTGCAACAAGATCGGTCTGCTGGTTAGTAAGGTTATGCCGTCCCATCGTGAAAACTCGCATGACTTTTTTAATGCACATGGTGGAATTTATTCGGTAAAAGTGTTTCCATCGTAGTTTATGCACATTTTTAGAATTTATGCTCATCTTGGCATTTCCATCCAGCGTTTTTTAATGCAATATTCCAAAATGCGCATAAAGATAGGTGGATGGAAACATAGCTTGTGTTTTATTAGCATGTTCACCAAGTAAGTGTAACTCTTTCTAGGAGATCAGTGAGCTGAAAGATGTACCTTTGAAGCCTTGGAGATTGAAGATACGTCAGATTTCCTCCAGAGGAGCAGAGGCGAGCTCTCGCATGCTCTCCTCTGAAGCTCCTCTGCACTGTGAAACACTGGAGGACTAGACAGCCGTATGATGGAGGACACAGGGTTTATTTTTTTTACCGCAGGTCAGTGACTGTACACTGATTTACACTGTTTTGCACCGAAATTCTCTGCCTTAACAGTTTAATAGACATCGCTTTTGTGCCATCATTGTTCAGTCACATCAGTATTTGTATGCAATATGTATTATTTATTACAATATAGAGGAAAATAATTTAAAAAATTTTTTTGAAATTTGACTGTGTATGTATTTTAGCAATAAATAATTTTTCTTAATTAAAAATGAGGTTGTATAGACATTCTGTTGATTTTGTCCTCAATTATTTAGCTTATTGACAACATTAAAATATGTATTTTTAAAAAATCCTGGCAAGAAAAAGATTAGTAAATTAACACCTTGAACAACATTGAAAATCACTCAGAATACCTTATCAACCATATAGAAAGCACCAGAAACATCATAGCAATGCCTTAGCAACACCCTAGCAACCATTTAGAAACCACCAGCTACATAGCAACACCTTATCAACCATATAGAAAGCACCAGAAACATCATAGCAATGCCTTAGCAACACCTTAGCAACCATTTAGAAACCACCAGCTACATAGCAACACCTTAGCAACCATATAGAAAGCACAAGTTTTTTTTTTGGTTTATGGGTTATTTTGTTGTGTTTGAATTGTTTTCTTTGTGTTGTAGCTTATTTTTGTGTTGTGGCTTGTTTCCGTTGTGTTGTGCTAATTTCGTTGTGTTGCGGAGATTTAGTTTTGTTGTGCACTACTGGACCACCGTACAAGGCAGTCATTAACAGGAGTGACAACTGCATTCTACAACCAAACTGATCCCCAAACATTCAGGTAGTGACAACTGCATTTACAGAAATTCTACGCATCTGTTTGTTAATGATGTATTTAAATGCGTATCAGAGTTGTGTCTTTTCTGTATGTGAAATTACAGGGTACGGTTTGACTCATATGTCGGTATTCGGTAATGCGATATATCACGATAATGAATATGCACGATGTTGTTATCGTGGGCACTTCAAAATACTGAGAATAATTATTACAAATTATGCAAAATTTTGAATGCATTTTAAGAATTATTTTCCCATCAATTGGTCACAATGCACAACAGCGCTGTAAGCGCACATTCACTCTCTGACAGCAGGTGGCGCTGAACTGTAGAAATGCAGCCGTTACCCCGGAAACCTGTAAACAAAACAGCTGAGCTACTTTCTGTTCATGAATCGTGTTTAAATGATTTAAATAGCCATTTAGATTTTTGTTTTCGCTATGGTGTTCATCACAGCGCCAACTACTTTAATATTTTGACTTAATAAGTTATTTATTTTCAAACTTTTTACATTTTAATCTGGACTACAACATGTCCTAGATATTGTATGAAACTGTTTTGATTCTTTATTGTTCAGTCACACTTTACATTAAGGCTTCATTAGTTGACATTAGTTAATTCATTAGTTAACATAAACTGCCAATGAAAAATTCTTCTGAACATTCATTAATCTTAGGTATTCCAATATTTATAACACGTTGTTAAAATCAAAAGCTGCAACTGTGTTATTTAATGAGCTAACATGAATTAAGAGTTGTATTTTTAACAAAGATGAATAACTTCTGTAGCAAATGTAGCTATTGCTCAACATTGAAAATCACTCAGAATACCTTATCAACCATATAGAAAGCACCAGAAACATCATAGCAATGCCTTAGCAACACCCTAGCAACCATTTAGAAACCACCAGCTACATAGCAACACCTTATCAACCATATAGAAAGCACCAGAAACATCATAGCAATGCCTTAGCAACACCTTAGCAACCATTTAGAAACCACCAGCTACATAGCAACACCTTAGCAACCATATAGAAAGCACAAGTTTTTTTTTTGGTTTATGGGTTATTTTGTTGTGTTTGAATTGTTTTCTTTGTGTTGTAGCTTATTTTTGTGTTGTGGCTTGTTTCCGTTGTGTTGTGCTAATTTCGTTGTGTTGCGGAGATTTAGTTTTGTTGTGCACTACTGGACCACCGTACAAGGCAGTCATTAACAGGAGTGACAACTGCATTCTACAACCAAACTGATCCCCAAACATTCAGGTAGTGACAACTGCATTTACAGAAATTCTACGCATCTGTTTGTTAATGATGTATTTAAATGCGTATCAGAGTTGTGTCTTTTCTGTATGTGAAATTACAGGGTACGGTTTGACTCATATGTCGGTATTCGGTAATGCGATATATCACGATAATGAATATGCACGATGTTGTTATCGTGGGCACTTCAAAATACTGAGAATAATTATTACAAATTATGCAAAATTTTGAATGCATTTTAAGAATTATTTTCCCATCAATTGGTCACAATGCACAACAGCGCTGTAAGCGCACATTCACTCTCTGACAGCAGGTGGCGCTGAACTGCAGAAATGCAGCCGTTACCCCGGAAACCCGTAAACAAAACAGCTGAGCTACTTTCTGTTCATGAATCGTGTTTAAATGATTTAAATAGCCATTTAGATTTTTGTTTTCGCTATGGTGTTCATCACAGCGCCAACTACTTTAATATTTTGACTTAATAAGTTATTTATTTTCAAACTTTTTACATTTTAATCTGGACTACAACATGTCCTAGATATTGTATGAAACTGTTTTGATTCTTTATTGTTCAGTCACACTTTACATTAAGGCTTCATTAGTTGACATTAGTTAATTCATTAGTTAACATAAACTGCCAATGAAAAATTCTTCTGAACATTCATTAATCTTAGGTATTCCAATATTTATAACACGTTGTTAAAATCAAAAGCTGCAACTGTGTTATTTAATGAGCTAACATGAATTAAGAGTTGTATTTTTAACAAAGATGAATAACTTCTGTAGCAAATGTAGCTATTGCTTATTGTGAATGTTAATGCATTAACTAAGGTTAACTAATGAGGTCTTATTGTAAAGTGATACCTATTGGTTTTTATAATTATTTTGCACTTTAATCTGTGTAAAATTTGTAACTTTATACATTTTTTGTGTATTGCTTTATTGTAGGCCTATTTAAATGTTCAGTTATTTTTGTTATAAGAAAAAAGTTATTAAACCTGTTATACTGCATTATGACAACACTTTTTGCAACAAAATTTCAATATCGTGATAATACCGTGATAAAAGCATTAGCAATGAATCGCAACATGAAAATCTGATACCGGCATATCCCTACTCTTGCCAGATCTTGCTATAAAAAAACAGCAAATAAGAACAGGCCAATAAGAAACTCAAATCCAAACGTGTTATCTTGGAAGTAAGCCACATACCAAAATATAGCAACCTGCACCTGCCTACTTTATTAACTCCATAAACCAGATCGATTTATGAGACGAGCCCAAAGATGCTTAATAATAGTCACTTATAATAAATGGACATATCAACCCTTCAAGACCACACTCTGCAAAGTAGCCTTCAAAACATAAACAAAACATGACGACTCTGTTGATCGTGGTTTAGTTTACATCTATGAACATAACGAGTCATTGGTCGCTGTTTTAGTACTTTGTTCAAAAATAGCTGATACCAAACGCGTGAGACGCCAAAATGTTGCAATGGTTACAACAATGTTAATCATCGCAGTTTTTAGAGCGGGTTGTGTTGCGGCTTGTTTCCGTTGTGTTGTGCTAATTTCGTTGTGTTGTAGCTTGTTTTTGTTGTGTTGTGCTAATTTTGTTGAGTTGCAGCTTGTTTTCGTGTGTTGTGCTAATTTCGTTGTCTTGCGGCTTGTTTCCGTTGTGTTGTGCTAATTTCGTTGTGTTGTAGCTTGTTTTTGTTGTGTTGTGCTAATTTCGTTGAGTTGTAGCGTGTTTTCATGTGTTGTGCTAATTTCGTTGTGTTGCGGCTTGTTTCCGTTGTGTTGTGCTAATTTCGTTG